AAAAAAAGAGAAAAAAAAAAAGAAAAAAAAACCAAAAAATACCAGAGACCCTGTCTAGAGTTGGGATTAGACACAACAGACACACGCCTAGTGATCTGAGGAATCCGGCAGAACTCTGCTCACAATCGCCAGGGGGAGGAAACCTGTGTCAAATTCCAGTGCAGAAAAAAACTCAGTGTGAATCGGCAGCATTGCAATGAGGTTGTTGAAATAAGTAAAAAGTAAATTATGCATTTTTTAAAGACATACCTCGCACTTGTTTGGGAGGTGTTTGGAAGCAAAAGTTAAGGTCTCTTTAATAAAAAAAAAAATATATCATCTGAACATTCTGATGTCAAATAAATTACCAAGTATTGTTACGAACGTCCAGCACTTTGTTGAAACTAGCTAGTAGCACGGCAGCAGCTGGTGCCACTGCAATGCCGAGTGTGTCGTTAGTGGGGCAGGGGGTGGGGGGGCGGTAGGGAAGGGAGGGGTCCTGGAAAAACGGAAGGAGGGACAAAATGCAACGATGACATCATAGGAGAGGGCAACAGATAGGACAGCAAACAAAAAGGGAGAAGGGCGGGAAGATTAAGAAAGGAAGGAAGGGTCATCTTGGGAAATTCTGCTACTCCCCCCCCCAAAAAAAAAGTTAAGGAAAAAAATTACTGAAATAGAAACCAAATAGATACTATTAATAAAACACTGAACAAAGGGCTCTAGAAAGGGAACAGGAAATCTGGTGGACGGGCTGTTCCCTCCCTCTGCCGTGGACAATTTGCTACCTCCCCTGCCTGGACGGGGCCTCCCCTTCCGGGGGACGCTGCACTCCTCTCTCAACAAAATGTAGCCAAAAGAGTTTCAAATGTGCATGCACAACCAGTTACGTGCGTGTGTTATCAGACCTCAGCCTCCCCCAGGCTGTCTCTAAACGCTTGGGAATTTCTCAGTCACAGTGGGCAGAGATAAGGGGGAGCAGAGATAACAGCGAGGGGACTGTAAGGACAGAACTCTGCCAGCTGCAGAGATGCTCTCGGAGCAATGTGAGTCCTTTAGCAACAGCCCTGCTGTGGGCTGGTCCTCAGACCACAGAGAAGCAAGTTCCAGAGGCTGGTGGAGGCTGAGTCACGGAGGGGAAGGGGCAGAGAGAGAGAGAGACATTCCTTGCAGAAGGTACATAGAGAAGTCAGGAGGCAACACATGTTCCACTCAAGGGACCCAGGCAGGTGGATTCTCCTCTGCACACGGGCCAGGGCGCAAGGCCACACCGGGTGTAGGTGAGCCCAGGGCAGGACTCGGAGGTCACAGACTCCAGTGGCTCTAACACGCCCATGAGGTGGGCACCGGGTGGCCCCTGCAACTTTTTCTCACCACCTTCTCCCCTAATCCTTCCTCCCTGGAGGAAACAATAATTATCTCTGAATCGTCTCCAACTTGGGCATCAAGGGCATGTTAGAAAGCGGTTAATTGAGCAGAAATGTTGCGAAAGTGCTGGAAAAACAAACTTCAGGGTCGAGCTCGTGGTGGGACTTGATTTCTTCACCCACTCCAGAGATGCTCCTGGCACGGAAGCTCTCTCGGTGCTCCTTGTGTGCGTACAGGACAGAAAGCAGGGGCAGTGAAGGGGGCAGGCGCCCTCCTCTGCAAACCAGAGGCTTGGGGACAAACTGTGGTTGGGCCTCAGGAAAGCAGCCTGCACTCAGCCCAGTCCCAGGAGGAGGGGGCTTCTCTTCATTGCCTTTGACAGAAAGTGCCTGTGGGTGGTGCAGCGTGGGTGTCCTCAGAGGCAGCCACCTAGGTTTGCATACTTCCTGGCTGACAGAGCTGCCTTCAGTGCCCCGGGGCCAGGGTGGTGAGTGTCGGTGGGAGGAGTAACCAAGTTTCACTTCCTTGCCTTGAAGAGGCAGCCACAGCCGCTCCTCTCTCGCCGAGAGCCCAGCCTCTCTCTCTGCCTCTGCCAAGGGCACGGATGGGCAAAGCAGAACTTCCAGAAGGGAAGATGAGCACCCGGGATCCCTCAGATCTGTGGAGCAGATCCCACGGAGACGCCCAGCTGCTCCAGGACTTGGGGTAAGAGCGCAGGTCTCCTCTCACAGTGCCTTGGGGGTGAACGCTGGCTCCCCACTCCCACCTGCGGGCTCACTTTGATCAAGGATGTCTCCTTCCGCACTCCTGTCTGTTGGGTATCTTCTGGTCTGGGGCGCCTTCCACTGTAAAAGCATATGATACCTTTTCAGATGTGAAAATAGGTAGGTTGAGAAAATGGGATGGAACTCAAACATGGGGCATTCTTTGAGAATAGGGACAGAATTAGGATGTAGGAGGCGACGCTGCTTGGTTTCCTTGGTGTTGCTCTGGTTGATGAATCCATGTGGTGTTCAAGAGTTTTGAGCTCTGGCTTAGGGACGGTAAGAGGACTGAGTCGCAGTAAGATGAATAGAAAGCCTACCCTACTGTAAGGGAGAGGGACTTTTTCAGAAGACAGAGAATGGGGAAGTTTCTGCAGCAATCTTGCCGCTGTGTGTTTGTGAGCTCTTGAACGTGTGCATGTCCGAGGGGCAGCGCTGAGCCTTTGAACACCAACCATCCAAAAAGAGGATCAAATTTCTGACCCCAATAGGTAAGTTTAGGTGGATGGAGTCACCGGAGTTCTGTCTTTAAGAACGGACCCAGATGAGGCAACTCGTCAGGGTAGTTGATAAAAGCAGTACTTATTACACAAGAGAGGAATAGGGGATTTTCTGGAGAAACTGAACCTTCCTCCTGAAGCCCTGGGAATATCCCTATGGGGGGGGTTTTGACACCTGTGTGTGAGGAGGGGGGAAACCCTACTTTCTGTCTGGATAAGTAGCTCTAAATCTTCACAGCACAATGACACGGGAGCTCTTGTTACCTTCATCTTACAAGGGACGTAAATGAGCGCCAAACACGTTTGAATGACCATGACTTGGGTACCAGTCTCGCATCGATTAGGTGGCAAAGCTGACCGTCCAACCTGCCGAAGGCTCTGTTCTTATGAAAAACCAAAAGAGACTTGAAATCTCTCTGTGTTAAGACTACAGAGATTGTATCTTCTTGTGTTGTATTGCTGTCATAGTTCCAAATAATTCCCGTTTTTAGATTTTAAAATTGAGGTCTCAGAATTTAACTGTACCTCCATTTGGCAAATCAGATGTAGTAGCTAGAATTTGCAATAAAGAAAACTCCCCTTATTAGGAAGTCAGAGTTCCAGGCTCTCTCTGTCCTTCTAGATTGAATTCCCAAACAGGAGAGGTGAAAGGCCCCTCTGGGAGCATCCAAAACAGGTGTCACCAAGTTCAAGCACTAAAGCTGGACTTCGGGTTCTCACCTAGTGCCTTCTGACTCATTGACCTACAATGTTTTGTGTGTATTTTATCTGTAGTCCCAGTCTATGGTAGCAGGAAACCCCAAAGAAGAAACAGACAGAGGAGATATTTATTCAATTCTGGTCTTTTAATCAAACAAACAATCCTTGACCCAGACTCTGCGCTTGCATACCGTGGGCACATGCTTAGATGACAGAGATGAACTCGACGACATCTCTGTGCCCCACCATAATGCCAACAGCAGGAAGCAACTTTAGGTAAACCCCACAGGGAAACAGAACTGTGTCCTTCCTCCCTATGCAAAGAATAGTCGTTCAATACAAAACCCAAAGTCACACACACACACACACACACACACACACACACACACACACACACGGTGCATGTATGTCCAGACTTCTCTATTTCAGAAGGCCTGGAAGTTTATTAAACCTGTGAGGATGATTTCCATAACAATGCACAACCTGCAGTTATCTGGGGAAACTGCTCAACCTTCACTGCTGTGCGTTAGAACAACCCAAGGAGTTTTTTTTTTTTTTTTTTTGAGACAGAGTCTCACTATGTTGCCTGGGCTAGAGTGAGTGCCGTGGCATTAGCCTAGCTCACAGCAACCTCAGACTCCTGGGCTCAAGCGATCCTCCTGCCTCAGCCTCCTGAGTAGCTGGGACTACAGGCATGCGCCACCATGCCCGGCTAATTTTTTCTATATATTTTTAGTTGTCCAATTAATTTCTTTCTATTTTTAGTAGAGACGGGGTCTTGCTCTTGCTCAGGCTAGTTTCAAACTCCTGAGCTCAAATGATCCACCCGCCTCGGCCTCTCAGAGTGCTAGGATTACAGGCGTGAGCCTGGCCCCAAGGAGTTTTTAAAAAGCTCCTAGTGCTCAGACCACACACCTGACAAACGATGTCAGTGTTGCTGGGGGTGAGCGTGTTCTTTTTCAACGCTCTAAGTGACTCCAAAGTGAGACTGAGCCTGAGAACCACTGCACAGAATATGTATCCACCAAAAGCATCGAGTAAATATGCCCTTCATTTTCATTTTAAGTCTGTTGGGCGTGTGCCTGCATGTTAAGGCCACCAAATCATTGTTGGCATTTTGTTTGTCGGTTTGGGGGCATTTGGGTTAGCAATTTTATTAACGTATATTTTATATACCATAAATCTACCCATTTCAAGTGTACAGTTCAATAATTTTTAGTAACTTTGAAGAGTGATACAACCATATCATAAATCAGCTTAGAACATTTTTTTTTTTTCCTTTTTGAGATCACTCAGTGAGAAGAACATTTTCATTTCCCCAGGAGTAACCCTCAGGAGCCTGGCTCATTTAAACATGGTCATTGGTGTGCTAGAAAACCACCTGAAGTGGGCAGGGGATGGAGGAAGCCTGAATTCTAATATTTGCCTAATTCCCCAGTATAAATACTCCCATCATAGACAATTTCAAGCTGACAAAAACTTAACACCCAGCTTGCAAAATCGAACATTTAATAACCAACATAAGCCCGTGCCTGCGCCTCCAGTATATCACCGACACACTTTTTACAGGTAATAATTTGAGACATCTTTGCCATGACTCGTTGCCTCCACCGGAATACTGAGTATGGATGAAACCTTTTCTCTGAACCTTGACCCCACTGGTGAGGCGTGATCTGTACCAAACCTTCTGACGGATTGAGTTTTTAAAAAGCTCCATAAGAACAAAATGATGGAATGCAATTGTTAGATAAAAAGTGGCTGGTTTAATGACTTAATTTTTAAGTTATTTTTAAGAAGTTAGTCAAGTAGTTAGATAAATTCTTATGTTTATATTTTTGGTAGATACAAACAGATACTTCGGTGGTTAAATTACAGAGACATCGTAAGTCTTTGTTCTTGGGTCCCTGTTTTTCCCCAGGCTCTGGGATGTGTAAATCCTGTAAACGGAGCCCCAGGCTGCGCAGATCCGTCGCTTGCCTTTCTAGGACGTTCGCTGCTTGCTCGGAGCACAGGTTTATTGTTTTCTAAGGTACCTGAATCAAGCAACTCGGATGCGTTTCGGTGTCTCATTTATAAGTGTCAGTCTAAAATCTTTTATTTTTTTTCATCCTAAATGCATGAACACGTCCAAAAGCAAAGGAGGAAATAAACAAAACCATCTTCAATTGCTGCTCAGCTCCACTTAGCCCTGGCGGTGTGGGATGGGGGAAGGGGAGGGGTGTTGAGGGAGGAAAGGGGTGGAGAGAATGGTGGGCGAGACACAAGCGGGGACCAGGGCAGTCTGCTGCTTTCAGAATGAAGAGATGGGGAAATAACACAAGCAATAAATAACTGGAGACATCACCCAAGTAATAAACTGGCATAGAATTACTAGTTAGTTAATTACTTAAAATTCCAGCAATTCTTTGGCTCTAATAAAGCTTCCTACAAGATAATGTGGAATAGTATAGTTATATATAACCATAGACACAAAAGGGATACTGTCAAATAAAAATATTTCAGGATATTTTAAAATTAACTATTCAAATGATCTAGTCAGACCTCATCCAGCGTGAAAAATATAATAAATATTCCCTTTTTTGATATACTTTCCCAGATCTCAAATTCGATAAGAAAGTGCCAGCATTTGGCTGGGTTGGCCAGTGCCAAGAAACTAGATTCTGAGCTCTGGATATTTGAATAAATAAATAAAAATGTCTTCATTTCTCTGCCCTTTAATTTTCCACATATAAGAGAAGCTTAGAGGAAATCAGGGATCAGCAAACTTTTTTCAATAAAGGGCCAGGTAATAAATATTTCAGGCTTTGCCGGCCTTCCAGTCTCTGCCACAGCTGCTCACATCTGCCCTCGCTGTGCAAAATCGACCAGAGAACACAGAAGCAGGGGTCTGTGACCGCTTGCGCACACGACATTATTTGTGGATGCTGAAATGTAAATTTCGTGTAGTTTTCATGAGTCACAAAATACTCTTCTTCTTTTTTCCCCAACCATTTCCGAATGTGAAACCACGCTTGGCTCTGGGTCGGTACCGACACAGGTGGCTGGCAGGTGTTGGCCCTCTGCTGAGGGGGGCTTCCCACAGAGTAAACGACACTAAGCAAGACATTGCGAGGCAGACAGTTAGCAGACGCCGTCTCTGGTCTCTAAAAGGCATTGCTGTCCCAACTTTGCGCTGGAGGAGACTCAAGAGCAGAGAAGTCTCAGAGCATCTGGGTCCGAAGCCCACGCTTATTTGATAAACCAGCTGCTTCTGTATTGTGGATTTCAGTATTTGCCGAGACCACCACCTACTACAGCCAGCACCGTGCCTGTCACACGCATATATCATTTAGCCTTCACAGTGGCACTTTCAAAACAATGTCATCCTACTCATTTCATAGATGCAAAGTGACGTCAAATAAGTGAAGTGCACAGACCAAGTCACGGAGCTGGTGAGTGGCGGAGCTGAGCCATGCCTGGGGGCTCACCCCAGAGCTGATGCTCTTTGCTGTTTGCACTGCGCAGAGCTGCTCAGCAGAGTCTGCTGATCAGAGGTTTGCATCCTGATAATGGCAATCAGTAATTAATCATTGGATGCTTAGCATGTGCCAGGCACTATTTGAAGCCCTTTGCATGTATGCATTTACTTAATCCACACATCGCAGCGAGGTGGGTACTGTTACTAGCGTCATCCCCATTTACAGATGAGAAAAGGACAGAGCTGTCATCACATGCCCCAGATCACATTCCAGTAAACCTTCAA